TTTTATCCAAGCATCAAAACTATGAAATAGACAGTGGTTCCACTGCCTGTCTCACAAGCACAAGGTCCCAAGTTTGATCCCCGGTACCAAAAAAACCCACTATGAAATAGAATAGTTGAACTGGAGAGCAACCAAACACATGTAATGAATATACTGAGTCTTTCATCAAGTGTTAATTTTGTTGTCATAAAGGGATTTGTTCTGGAGTGAAACCAGACAAATACAGTGACCTTAGAAAGGTCATTTTTGCCAGGCATAGTGGTAATTCCTGTAACCCCAGAACTTGGGAGGCTAAGGCAGAAGGATAGCCACAAGTTCGAGGCTGGCCTGGGCTACATAGTTAAAGGCCAGCCTGCACTGACCCTATCTCAAAATGAAAACAAAAATTTCATTCTTAAAGGACGTGGCCTCAGGATTCACCAAAGAATTCCTACTGCAAAGAACACTGACAAATGTAATGCTGAGGTAAATTACTTAACCAAATCTCACAGTGTACTCCATTTCATAAAGTTTATATAAAGAATAAGTCAGTCTCTATCCAAGGTGAAACTTGTGTCTTGCATACTGCAGAATACTGTAATTACAAGTTAAACTGTTCTGCCTGCAGCGCAAGCACAAGGACCAGAGTTCGATCCCCGGTACCAAAAAAAAAAACAAGTTAAACTGTTAACCTTCGCAATATATGTCAAAGATGCAAAGACACTTGTAAATGGCCAAATACTTTCAGGTTATAAAACACTTCTTGGAGATTTCTTTGGAAAGGAAATATAATTTGAATTTTAATCTGAACTTTGGAACATGTTTTGGTTTTTTTGGGTTGTTTTTTTTTTTTTTTTGGTACTGGGGATCAATCTCAGGTCCTTGAGCTTGCACAGCAGGCAGCGAAACCACTGAACTAAATCCCTGGCCCTGGAACATGTTGATATGCTTTTCCTATGGGCTTTTTATGGTGGTGTCTAAAAAGTATCAGTAAAATGAAAGGCCTTGCCACATGAAGTGAGAACACACCTGTTCATGTTTCTTTGGAACAAGGACACTCCTTTCAAAATTAAATATTGTTAAAAAAATTAAATATTGTTGCATTATTCCTCCTGATATCATAGTGCATGCCTATAATCTCAGCCATTTGGTAGAATGAATGAGGAGGAGCACAGTTAGGCAACTAGTGAGACACTGTGAAACTGAAGTAAAAAGAACGAGGGGTATAAAAAAGTAAAAAATAAATAAAAGTGGCTCACCAAATAAAAGTTACTGAGCTTTGGATTGCTTGCCTCTCTTTCAGGAGTTGGATTCCAAGTTCTTCTCTTCTTGAACAAAGAATTGAATGAAATGAGCAAACTGCAATGGCAAAGTTTATTTGAAAAAAGTAAAAGTGGAGAGGGAGGGAGAAACTGGCTCTGCAGAGTGAGCTTGGGTTGAATAAAACAAGAAAAAGCAAGATAAAAGAACACCCTGGAGAAAGCAGGGCAGGCTATTGTGAGGAAAGCCATAATAGAAAGCTCTTCTTGGCATCTATGTCCTTTATACTGTCCAAATCTCAAGGAAACCCGTGAGAACTTCTGCATCCAGGTCCTGAGAGGCAGTGCTGGGATCCCACTCCTCAGGCTGATGTCAGGTCTAGCCCATCCTATTGAAAATGTGCTCAAGGGCCAGGGATTTAGCTCAGTGGTTCCGCTGCCCGCCCTGCAAGTGAAGGATCCGAGTTCGATCCCCTGTACCAAAAAAAAAGAACATGTGCTCAAGTTCTATTGAGAAGCCCACAAACAGGGCTTTGGGAACTCTTCTGTGCATGTGACCCTGGATCTTGTAATTAACAGGTCACTTCTACTTCCCCAGCCAGCTTTGCCACGCCCTAATCTCCTATGTCAGGGTCTCACTTATGTAGCCGAGGCTGGTCTCAAACTCACAGTGATCCTCCTGCCTCAGCCTCAGAGTGCTGGGATTACAGGTGTGAACCAGCCACTATTTCTACCTTGGATTTGAGTCCTTTCTTTCCTTATTTTGATAAGATTGGTTACGGGTTTGTCTATTTTGTTTATTCTTTCAATGAGCAAACTCATCTATTCATTGATTCTTTGTATTGTTTTTTTAGTCTCAATTTCATTAATTTCTGCTATGCTATTTATAATTTCCTTCCTCTTATTAGCTTTGTATTTGGATTGTTCTTGTTTTACTAGGATCTTGACGTGCATCATTAGGTTATTTATTTGAGCTCACTCTGTTTTTCTGATGTGGGAATTCACCACAATAAACTTCCCTCTTAGGACTGCTTTCATTGTGTCCCATAAGTTCCAGTATATCATACTAGCATTATTGTTTGATTGGTAGAAACTATCTAATTCCTTAATTCCATCTGTGACCCACTGGTTACTCAAGAACATATTGTTAGTGAAATGTAGTGGCTGTGACCCCAGTACTTGGGAGGCTGAGGCAGAAGGATAGCTGTGAGTTTGAGGCCAGCCCTGGCTACATAGTGAGTTCAAGGTCAGTGTATACCAAGATCCTATACCCCCCCCCAAAAAGAGAGAGAGCGTATTATTTAATTTCTATGTGTTGCATAGACTCTGTGGTATCTTTTGCCATTGATTTCTAGTTTCGTTGCACTATAATCTGATAATATGCATGGGACAATTTCACTTCTTTTGCATTTAAGCATGCTGTATGGACTAGCATGTGATCTATTTTGGAGAAACTTCAATGTGCTGCTATAAAGTATGTGAATTCTGTTGTTGGATGGAACACACTATAAATATCTAGTAAGTCCATTTGTGTGAAGGTTTGGTTAAATTCTAATATTTCTTTGTTGATTTTTTTTTTTGTCTATTTGTAACAGTGGGATATTGAGGTCACCCATTATAATTATATAATTATGATTTTTCATGCCATATGTTTTTGTTTTATGAAGTTGAGTGTACTGGTATTTGGTGCATATATGTTTATAATTATTACCTATTCCTTTTGATTTAACCAATATGTAGTTTTATGTAATCTTTAACCAATTAGTGACCTTCTTTGTCTCTTTTGATCAGTTTTGGTTTAAAATCCCCTTTGTCTGAAATTAGGACAGCTGCTCCTCCTTTTTTTCTGGGTTCTTATTGCATGGGTTCTTGTTTTCTATGCTTTGATTCTTAATCTGTGGGGTTTATTTCTTTTTTTTCTTTTTTTTTTTTTTGCAGTACCAGGGATCAAACTCAGGACCTTGCACTTGCCAGGTAGGCATGGTGCCACTGATCTACATCCCCAGCCTTGGCTTTCTTTTTTAATTAAATGTATTTCTTCTATATTCTTCCATTCTGCCAATCAGTGTCATTTGCTTGGGGAATTTAGACCATTCACATTGAGAGTTATTATTGAAAGGTACTGACTTATTCCTGTCATTGCTTTATTTTCCTGTTGCTGAGTTCCTTCTTCTCCCCCCACCCATTCGCTTAGCTGCTCATCCCACCAAATGTATTCATTCTTTTTGTCTTATTGGCATTATTGGCTTCATTATCTCTTTCTAGGATATCCTTGAGAATTTTTCATAACACTGGTTTGGTGGTCATGAATTTCTTGAGGTGCTCCTTGTCATGGAAATACCCTAGTTCTCCATAAATTTTAAAGGAAAGTTTTCAGGATATATAACTCAGAGTTGGAAGTTGTTATCTTTCCGGGCTTGAAAGACTTCTCTCCAAGCCCTCTTGGCCTTTACAGTTTGTGTTAAGAAGTCTGCTGTAATTCTAATGGGTTTACCTTTATATGTAATTTGTTGCCTTTCTCTAACAGCTTTTAAGATTTTGTCCCTGTGTTGAACTTCTTGTACTCTGAGTATAATGTGGATCAAAGAAGTTCTCTTTTGGTCATGACTAATTTGTGCTGAAGTTTGTGGATGCTTATGGTGTAAAGACTTTGTTGCTAGTATAGAGATCTCTTTATTTAGTTGCTTTCCAGTGATATACTTTGGGAGTAGCTAACTTTAATCCTTTGTTCACCCCTAAAATCTGACTACCTCAGTTAATTTGGAAGGAGAGGATGCGGTGTAATTGACTCAATACCAAGTTCTCTGGGAATGTACTCTAGTATTGTTAATGTCACAAAGGTAATCTAGTTGTTGGCTTACAGAGAAAACCCCATTAATAGCAATAATTATGTGACCCTGGTAATATCAAACAAATCAGCTACAGTATTATCACCCAAGACAAATTGGATATTAACATAAGACAACCCACCCTAGGCATGGTGTCCCACACCTATGGACCCAGCACTTGGGAGGCTGAGGCAGGAGGACTGCCACACATTTGAGGCCAGCCTGAACTACACAGTGAGACTCCATCTCAAAAAGCAAACAAACAAAAAAATCAACCCAGGTATTGACTGACAGCTAATCTATACTAAACATAACAGCGATATTTCCGATAGTGTTAGAAAAAAAATCAACAATCATTTTGTAGTTAACTATCTAAAGATTAATAAAGCTTTATGATTTATTGAAGATTAGTATTGAAAATACTATTAAAGCTTATGGTTATCCTATTGAAGGAATCCAAGAACACAGCTTTGAAACTTTCTATGATATAAGAAGGAGAAAGAAGGGGGACAAGGGATCCTATTAGGGAGTAGAAGAATGTTTACAGAATGAGGACCCAAGAGAGACTACGTAAAGGTGCAAATCTCCAATGATGAATGTCATTATATTGTATACCTAAAATGTACCAATAAAATTAATTTTTAAAAAAAGAATTAGGTAAGGGTAATGGAGAAAACTGATGAGAAATAGAAGGTAAAAGAGAGGGAGAAAAAAGATATTATATAGGAAGTAAAAAGGGAAAAAAAGTAAAAGAAGAAGAGGAAGAGAAGAAAAAGAGATTAAAAGCAAGGGAAATTCACCAAAACCCAATAAACTGGTAAAGAAAAAAGAAACAAGAGGAAAAAAGAAAACTATCAGAAAAAACACATACACTTACTTACAAAAAGAAAAGAAAGAAATTTCTCTGATTTTGAATGTGTGGTTTTTTTCTTAGGTCTCCAGTTTCGGGGCAGCATCTGAGTGGAGAGGCGTCCCTGCTCATGCTGACAGATGAAGAAGGCGGTCGGGCCGAGGACCGTGCTGGATGCAGGCACCAGCAGGCAGTAGGAGCAGGGTGAGGACACCAATCTCAGAACCTTCAAATCCGGAGTAAGGCAGGCTGAGCTTTGCCTCTGGCCGAGGGGTCAGGGCCTGTGTCCTTCCCCCCAAACTCCTCAGGGAGACTCTTTCCAGACCTTTCCCTCACTAAGTACTTCAGGCCCACCGTGAACTCACTATGTAGCCCAGGCTGGCCTTATACCCTGGGCGATTCTCCTGCCTCAGCCTTCCAGAGTGCTGGGATTACAGGCATGTGGCACTACACTTGGCTAGATGGAAATGTTTATATGTTGATAGCAACAATCTAATAAAGAGGAAGATATTAATGATGTATGAAAAAGTGGGAAGTAGCAGTACCTAGTGGAAGAAGAGATGGGATCTTGCAATCTACCTGGCATTGAAAGAGCAGAGACTCAGCTGCCATAACAAACAGGAAGAATGTGGTATGGTTGGTATATCTGTTGGTGGAAAGACAATGGAAATTTGGTCTGATTCTTTTATTCTGTGTAGAATTGGGTGAAGCAATCAGGAGAGAAGACAGAGAATAGAAGGCATAAGAGATCTGAACAGCAGGGAGAAGTGGAGACAGGAAGGCACACACTAAGGCAGTGCACTGGGATTGTGAGCAGTGTTAGGAGCCTGCTACACAGTTTGGACATAAATTTAAAGAGATACCAGTCGCACTGGTGGGGATTTTATACCAACTGTTTGACCTCAGAGGTAGAATAAATGTTGAATTGGGTGCAACCACAGTGGAGGTTGCCTAAGCAAATGTTGGAGAGAGCAGAAGGAAGCTAAAAAGATGGGTAAGGGAATGACTTTTCATTCTTCTGTGTCCTTCCAGAGCTGCTTTTTTATCCCCGGTATAAACATTAATATGTGTATATCCATGTTACTTACTCTTTTTTTTTTTTTTTTTAATGTAAGATCGTACTGAGACAAGCGTGGTGGTTCACACAGTAACTCCAGCATTCTGGAAGACGGAAACGGGAGGATCACAAGTTTGAGCCCAGCCTGGACACCATAGTGTGAAGAAGGCTTCAGTTTATTTGTTTCGTACTTAAGCAGTCTTTTCTTTCATGACGTCTACATTTTGAGTCATAGTTAGAATGTCTTAACCACTTTAAGGTAATGAATTAAGTGGATTGATGAGTTTGTGTTTCTATTCTTACTTTCAATCTTTGATCCATTTAAAATTATCTTGTATATCATATGGGGTTTGGAACCCATCTATCTACTCACATCGCTTAATTTTTTGTGTGTATGGTTCAGAAAAAGCAATTCATTATATATTAAATGACTCAAATTTTCCCCCACTTCCTCATTTTCTTTTGTAGGCATGAGGCTAGACACAGGAATCCTTGATATTTTCTTCTAATATTACAAGTGGTTTTATGAAAGCTATTTCAACATGATTGTACTCTTTTTTTTTTTTTTGTACCTGGGATTGAATTTGGGAACTTGCGCTTACAAGGCAGGCAGCACAACCACTGAGCTAAATCCCCAGCCCTGAACTCATTTATCTACAAATTCAATAAATATATACTGAATACATAGGTGCCAGGGATAAATCTGTAAACAGAATCAATAAAATTTTGATTTTTTTGGAGTTTAAATTCTGGTAGGAAAGAGACATAAATATATAGCAGGAATTAAATAAGTAAAAATAAGATGATTATTTGGCTTTCTTTTCCTCCTCGATATTTTATTTTTTATTTTTATTTATTTTATCCCATTTCCCCCCTCAAGCCCCTTCCCCTCTCTATGTACAAGTTTTGTTTCCATTTTTTCCTTCTATTTTCTTTTTTTCTTGTCCCTTCCTTGCTTTCTCCCTCCCTCCTCCCTTCTTCCCCTTCCTGTTTGAACACTTTCTTCCCATTTCTCAACATCCATTATACATCTCAGTCCTTATTTCCACAACACATTACTTAATTTATAACCATTTGTGTATATATAGGGTTTTGTTTTGTTTTCTTTGGGGAGGAGTGTTTTTGTTTTTGTTTTTTCAGACAGGTTCTCACTATATACTTCAGGCTGGCCTTGATCTAATTATGTAGCCCAGGCTGGCCTCAAATTCATAACAATCCTCCTGCCTCAGCCTCCTGAGTGCTAGGATTACAGGTGTGCACCACCATGCCCAGTCTATAGTTTTCTTTTTTGAGACAGGGTCTCACTATGTGGCCTAGGCTGGCCTTGAACTCATGATCCTTCTGCCTCAGCCTCCAAAGTGCTGGGATTACAAGTGTGGGCCACCACGCAGCATTTATATTTTTTAATAACTGGTAGGACCTGCTCTCCCTCATTGACTCCCTTTTTCAAGACTTTTTGGCAATTCTTTTTTTTGTTTTGTTTTTTGGTTTTTGGGTTTTTTGGCAATTCTTCTTTTCAACTAAACTGATATATTTATGATGTTGGGTTTTAGGTTTGGTTTTGAGTACCGGGGATGGAATTGGGATGTCAGACATGCTACGCACTGTTCTAGCATTGAGCTATACCCCAGCCATGTTGCATCTTTCTAACCCAGAACCTTTAAAGTCTTTTCATTTGTATCATTTGTTCTTTTAAGGCCTTTTCATTGTATTTTAACATTTTATTAACATAGGTCTTGAACTTTCTTGACAAGTGTACTCCAAATTATGCAAAGAAATGATAACAATGAATCTTGGGTAAAATCTAAACTGCATAGGAGAAAAATAAGGGCACAAGGAGAGTAATATATCATGATAATTTGAAAAGGTCAATTAATGGGAGGACTTCATAGGCGAGGAGTATGATAGGAGCTGGAAAGTTTTCTCAGTGGGAAATACCATCAGGTCTTATTTCTAAGGACTTTCCATTTTCTTTTTCTGTGTGTGTGTGCGTGTGCGTGTGTGTGCATGTGTGTGCGTTTGTGTGTGTGTGTGTGTGTTACTACAGATTAAACCCATGGCCTTTGCTTTGAGCTATATCCTGGCCCTTTTTTAATTTTTTACTTTAAGACAAAGTCTTACTAAATTGCACAGGCAGAAATTGAATTTGTAATCCTCCTGCCTCAGCCTCCCAGAGCACTGGGATTACAGGCATGCAATACTACATATGACTTTGAATTTTAAAATCTACTTTCCTATCAGGCATGGTGGAGCATACCTGTAATCCCAATGCTCAGGAAGCTGAGGCAGAAGGATCACAAGTTAAAGGCCACCCTGGACTATACAGTGAGACCCCAACTCAGGAAAAAAAAAAATCCCGCTTCTTTATAGTTCATTTCTTATGTCTATGCTTCACATATCCCTCCCCTCTTTTGATATGAATTCCAAGAGGCATGGTCTATTATTCTGTATATAAACACTAACAAAATCAAGAAAACAAGAATTGAAATAGTTAAAGCACCTTCCAGCAACCACTCAATGGACTGAGTCAGAATTTTGATTCATGACTGTTTTGTTGTTTCGTTCTTTGTTTGTGTGGTACTGGGGACTGAACTCAGGGCCTTGGTACTGAGCTATATCCCTGCCCCTTACTAAGTTGCCCAGGCTGGGTTGGAACTTGCCATCCTCCTGCCTCAGCCTCCCAAGTGCTGGGATTACAGGTGTGCACCACCATACCTGGCTTAGTGACTATTACTCTGTCCACAATAACATGCTACCACTCACATGATTTCCTTCTCCCTTGCATTTTTCCATGGGAATTACTAAATGGCTCAATAAAAAGTCATCTACTGAGTATTTCCTATGTGTTGGGTTCTGGTTTCCTTACTGGCCGTGCACCAATAAATAAATAGCCCATCTCTCTGCATCTTGTGTCCTTCACGGAATCCAGTTATATAATTTTATCTGCTATTTTTCTCTCTTCTCCTTGAGTTGAAAAGCCTTCTGGATGACAACAGTAAATCTCTTGCCAAATACATTCTTCTAATTCTTGTGAAATTCGAAGGGTACAAATGATTTCCCAACCAGAGGAGACAGGTGAAGGCCAGTGTCAGAAATGAGTTGGGTCTGCTTAGGACGCTACAGGACCAAGCTGATGGAGCAGGCAGGGGAAGAGAACTGTGGAAAGGCAGAGTGACACCAGATCGAGACCACAGACTGCTCAAAGGCTGGGCCAAGACATGTGCTCTGGTCACAAGGCAGTAAGGACCTATTGTAAATTTTCTTTTGAAGCAAAACATTTATTGGTACATTTTAGATATATATAACCGTAACACTCATCATAGGGAATTTGCACCAATACATGATATATCCTGCCTCTTCTTTTTTTCCCATCCCCCCACCCCCCACCACCCCGCATCAAACTCCCTCCCCTCCCTACATACAAAAGTTTTGTTTCCATTTTTTCCTTCTACTTTCACTTTTTTTCTTGTCCCTTCCTTCCCTTCCCCCTCCTCCCTCCCTTGTTCCCTTTCCCCTGTGAACATTTTATTGTAAATTATTGACTCTGATTTATAAGATAAAAAAGTTATTTCAAGATTGGGCAGGCAAGCCAGCCATGGTGGTGCACACCTGTAGTCCCAGCACTTGGGAGGCTGAGGCAGGAGGATTACCATAAGTCTGAGGCCAACCTGGGCTGTATAGTGAGTTCAAGGTCACCCTGAACTACATAGTGAGACCCTGTCTCAAAAAAAACAAAAATCAAACAAAACAAAACAAAAATATACTGGGCAGGCAGTGATGCTTCAAAAGGGCTGAAATTAAAAGATTTAAAGGTCAGAATACTAGAGAAGTTCAACAAAAACTCACTGAGACTTTGTGCTCAAGGCACTGGAAACAAAGGCCGGTTCTGGCCTTTGAGGAGCTCGCAGTTAGCAATTCTAATGAACAACAGAAATGTGGTATAATGGATATGGTGATATGGGCATCCCGCAAGCACAAACCTGGGAGAGAGAGAGCAGGGAGAAAGGAGGGTCCAATTCAGTATGAAGAATAAGACAGAAGGTAAGGGAAAGCCAGGAGTGGTGCCACAGGCCTCCAATCCCAGAACACTGGAAGGCTGAAGCAAGAGGATTGTAAATTTCAGCCCGGCCTGGGCAGTTTAGCAACTGAGTGAGACCCTGTGTCGAAATAAAAAATAAGAAGGGTTGGGAATGCAGCTCAGTGCAAAGGCCCTAGGTTCAATCCTCTGTACCCAAAATAAATAAAGGCAAGAAGAGTGCCACTAGTGACTCTGTTAAACCCTGGCTAGAGCCCCACTCACTGAGTCAGCTATAAGGAAAGAGAATTCTCAAGGGCAAGGCAATGGGTTGGAACAGCATATCAAGTTCCTAACAAAATGGTTAATGAGGGAGAGAAAGGAATGTTGTCTTAATAATGATCACACCAAAGGGCATAGTTATGAGGTAGGCCAGGTCAGTGAGCTTCTAGTATTCTAACATCCAGCTGTGGGGCAAAAGTACATGTCAGTGCATAGACAACTAATCTGGTGACAGAAGACAGGAAAATCCTGGGTGTTTCAGTGTTCCAGCTCTTGTTTAGGTAAGTGGTTACGAGTGAGCATGCTCAAACCTCAGTGGCCTCAACACTTACGGTGTATTTTAAGCCAGGCATAGTGGCACACACCTGTGATCCTAGCACTCAAGAGGCTGAGGCATGAGGATCACTATGAATTATGGCCAGCCTGGGCTACATAGTGAGACCCTGTCTCAAAAAAAAAAAAGAATGGTGTATTTTATCAAAGGTAAATTATGCCTCTGTCATAATATAGAAATTCTATAATCTGCGGGCCATATCCCAGTCTTCCCAGCACTCTGGAGGCTGAGACAGGAGGATTGTGAGTTTGAAGCCAACCTGGGCCACATAGCTAGTTCAAGAGCAGCCTGAACAACGTAGTAAGACCCTGTCTAAAAAATAAATAAAAATAAACTTCATAAACTATAATAAAGACTGAAGAAGGAGTGAAAAAGAAGACCAGATATGGTGGCACACACTTGTAATCCCAGCATTTAGGAGGTTGAAACAGGAGGATTACTAGGAGTTCCAGGCCAGCCTGAACTAACTACCTAGAGAGATCCTGTCCCAAAGAAAAGAAAAAAGGAAGACTCAAAACAAAAAAGGGAATTAGACCCTAGGAAAAATTCCCCAAACTGTCTGAGAACCAGGGATCTGGTTATTTGGGAAAAGAGTAACTGATAACTACTAGACTCTGGGCTAGACTTTCACATACACTATTTCCACTTGATCTCCGGGCCCCACAATGTCCACCTAAACTCAGATTAGCCCAGGGAGAAAGTGGGGTAGTTCTGTGATGCTCAAGCGAAAGAGCCTGGATGAATGAGAGATTTGAGTGTGGACTCTGAGATAAAAGAGGGAGGAGAGCTGGCTACAGTCCAGAAGGCAGCCAAGGAGAGAAGAGGGAGGTGAGGAAAGGGCAAGGAATGCAAGAATGCCTGAAAGAATTTCTTCAGCTCCTTGAAAAGTCAGAAAGTGGGTTCCATGTCTAATCCAACCTTCTCTTCCAGAGATAAAGGAATTAAATTGCTAAATATCAAACTTGAGAAGTGAAAACTGCCATTAAAAAATTAAAAGGTCTCAACTGGGCACAGTGGTAAATGTCTGTAATCTGGCACTTGAAACTTCCCAAATTCAAGGCCAACCTGGGCTAAATAGTGAGCTCAAGACCAGCCTGAACTACATAGTGGGACCTTGTCTCAAAAAAAAAAAAAAATTGGCCAGGTGTGAAGTGCACACCTATAATCCCAGCACCCTGGAGGCTGAGGTAGGAGGAGCACTGTGAGTTCAAGGCCAGTATAAACTATATAGACTGTCTCAAAAAATAAAGCAAAAGAAGTAAAAGGCTTCAAAAGACATGCATCACACTACACACCATGCTTAAAGGAAGATGTATATTATTACATAGTATAAAATTTAGTTTTAGTAAGCATTTGCTATTTGGTCTTTTCCTTCTTTTTCAGGGCTGAGGACTGAACCTAGGGCTTTGTATATGCTAGTCAAGTGCTCCTCCGCTGAGCTACATCCCCAGGCGATATTTTTTTAACCAACTAAATTTTGTTAAATCCAGTGTGGAGTTAGAGAACAGTGGTGATGAAAACAAGAACCTGTTTGGGGTGGTATAGAAGGGGCTCCTCAGACCTGTAATCCATAGGAATGGGGGGTGATCATCGGTTCCATCACCCAAAGCCTGGGGATTTGCCTTTTCCTTTCCTCAACCCAGTGACAGTCTGAGGAATGCTAGGTTGGGGCTATGGGTCTAGACCAGTGGTGGCGGACCTATGGCGCACATGCCACAGCAGATATGTAGGGCCCTCTATTGGCACATGAGCCAAGGGCAACTGTTTTCTAAACTAAAACCTCAGGATTCAGGTTTAACTGTAGTGTTGGCATTTGGCAATAAATAAGTGGGTTTTGGGTTACAGTATAGGCACTTGATCTCTAAAAGGTTTGCCATCGCTGGTCTATAGCTTTTTTTTGTTTTTTCTTTTTTTTTGGTACCAGGAATTGAACTCGGGATCTTGCGCTTTCGAGGCAGGCGCCAGAACCACTGAGCTAAATCCCCGGCAGCCATCACTGGTCTAAAGGAATGGTTGGCAAACATTTTCTCTAAAGTTTCAGATAGTAACCTTTTTTTTTTGGTACTGGGGATCGAACTCAAGAACTTGCGCTTGTGGGGCAGGAGGTGGAACCACTGAGATAAATCCCTGCCCCTCATTTTTTACTTTTGAAGACATATAGTCTGTGGCTCAGCTATTCTCCCATTTTGCCCCAAAACAGTTTTAGACAGTATATAAATGGAGCAGCCAGGCATGGTGATGCACTCATGTAATCCCAGTGCTCAGGAGACTGGGGCAGGAGGATTACCATGAGTTCAAGGCCAGCCTGGATTACATGGAAAAACCCTGTCTTGAAAATAAGTAAAGTAAAGCAATGATCACAGCAGTACAGACATTTGGGGTCAGTTTGTTGACCTCTAATCCAGAGCAGTGTTATTTGCTTCTGGCTGCACAATTAGAATCACCAGAGGGGCCTGTAAAGCCACAAGTGCCCAAGGGCCAGGGATGTAGTTCAGTGTTACTGTGCCTTCCTGGCAAGCCAAAAGTCCTGAGTTCAATCCCCGTTACTGCAAAAAACAACAAAAACGACAAGTGCCCAGGACCCCCCACCAGATTCTGGGATGGGGCCAAAAAACTTTTTTTTCCTGAGATGGGTTCTTGATGTATTGCAGGCCTCAAACTCCTGGACTCAAGCAATCCTCCTGCCTCAACCTCCCAAGTGGCTGGGACTAAAGTGCTCACCACTACCCCTAGTCCAAGGTTGTTTTGAAGCTGCTGCATAAATCAGTACGTGCACCTGGGCTGAAAACAACTCTTCTAGAATTGCAGTATCTCAGGAAACTGCTAAATCTGGGGGTTGAGAGTGGAATAGATGAATGCTGGAAAGATAAATGATCTAGAGCTGGAATGAAGTCTAGATTAACAGGAGTGTAACCATTTTCAGCCCACCTGAAATTAAGTACTTCCAGTACTTTGACTAAGTGTCCTTTATTTGACATTCATGTGCAAAGCACTACAAGGAGTTTCCCGCTGGGCAAGCCAGCAATCAGCCATTTCATTGTCCTCTGTGAAGGTGGCCCTGGGAGGGAGGGGCCATCAGTGAGCCACCTGCTGCCTACCCCACCTTCTCCGACCATTCCTGATAGGCCCCAGCATAGTTTTGAGCCCTGTGAAGGAAAAGAGGGGTGAGGGAAGCCGGGCTTGGTGCAGGCCCCAGTCGTCCCAGCCAGCACTGCCTGTACCCTGTGTAGCCAAGGCTCTGGGCCAGCTGTGTGGCCTGTAAGCCCCGCTTGCCCATCTGACAGAAGAAGACAAGATTCTCATCCTCCAGCTTTGGCTTCTTGGCGGAGTACAAAGCCTGGAACGCAGCCGGCTCCATCTGCAGGGCACTTTCCAACTCGGACACTGGGAGAGGGGCCAAAAGGTGAAAGGTGAAGAAAGCCAGCAGTGGCAGCGACGGCACTCCTAGGTTCAGTTGCTGGGCCTGCCAGAGCCGGGTCCTAGCAATGGAACAAATCTGCAGGGACCCCAAAACAACAGATAGTGGCCATCTCCTCCCCCATCCCAAACTCAAGGTCAAGAAACAGGGACCGTGCAGGAAGTCTGCCAAACAACCTTTGAATGCGAGCCGCAACCAGGCGCTTCAGAGGTCTCCAGGAGGCTGAGGGGACTCGGTCGTCGCCTCAGGGAGGTCAAGCGGAGGGGCTACTGGTCCCCGCAAACCGGACAGGCCGGTTCTGCTGCAGGACCCGCCTCCAACCACCCCTTCAGCGGGTGCCAGCCAAGGGAACTGAAGGCAACGTATACCTCGTGGTCCCAGCGCCATCCTAAATTGGGGCCCCATTAGCTCTTCCGGCGCCTCCTCCTGATCCCATACCCGGAATGTTGAGAGCCCCGGGGATGGTCCCCGCCGCCGCCTCCTCTCGAGATCGCACATCGAAGAGCCGGGCCCGGCCCGAAGCTAGGAGCGCCCGGAGCTCAGGAAGCAAGACTGTGGGCCCTTTAGAAGAGGGGGCGCGAGCCTTTAGGAGGGGGCCACAGCGCCCCTCACCTGGCCCAGCCCGCGGACGGCAAGGAACACGGGGACCTCCCGGCCACGCCCCTCGCCCCTCCTCCACCCCGGCCTCAGCGCACTCACGCGGCCACAGGCGCGACAGACTCCAGCCCAGGTTCCCTAGGAGATACCTGCAGCCATGGCGCGCACTGCAGTCGCGAGCCGCAGGAACCCAGTCCGCCGCCCCGGTGCCTGCAGCATCTCCCCCTCCTCCCCAAGCCAAGACCGGAACCGGAAGCAAAGGCACGGGCTGCACCCAGCTCCCGCTGCACCTGTTCCGCAGCCTCTCAACAGCCTGAGAGATCCTTGCCGTGGGATGGGCCGGAAACGACGCCTGCTACAGGTACCGGGACTTAGGGTAATAAGTTCAGAAGCAGCACCCCACCCTAACGTTGTCCCAGCTCTTATTGGTCAAAGGGCAATGTAGCCCTCCCTTCTGCTCTGGGGCCCACAAAAGGAGGAAAAATAGACAAAACAGACAACTGTGGCTCTGAACACTTTTATCTTTGAAGGAAACAAAAGGAAGGAAGAGAGGGAGGGAAGAAGGGAAGGAAGGAAAGGAAAAACAAAAATCAAGAACCACTCCCACAAGGGGAAAGGCCCCATGTGGGCCCCTGCCTGTTGTTCTCCCTGGCTTCAGAGACTTCTGCATAGGCCTTAGCTGCTTGCTGGCCAACCTCCTCTTTGTGGGGCTGCAGACACTGCTAAGCATCCACCCCAACTTCTTCATTAAGCCTGTTCCCCAGTCGCCAGGTGCACCCCTGAACCTCAGCTGTAGGGAAAGGAAGAACCAGTGGAAGCGCCAGAGTCCTGGGGTGAGCCAGGGCATCCCCTGTCAGCAGACCCTCTGCTGGGCACTCTAAGCAAGCACAGGGCAAGCCCCTCAGTTGAGTGTGTCCCATATCCGGCATGGAGACAGCACATGCATTGTGCAAGAGGAGCTCAAGGGACCAGGGGCTGCATGGTGCACCCAGCAAGGCTGTCAGTGCACAGCCAGAGTTTCACACACTGCAGGCTGCCACACCGCAGAGCCTCCGGTCAAAGACACGCCTTCCGAACTTCCCCATCCCCTGCCAGAGGTGGGCGGTGAAGGAAAGGAGATGGGATCAGCCTGTTGCTCTCCTGGGCGATCTGCAGTCCTCAGGCCCAAAGCCCCTGAGTCCCCAGTTAGTTGCTGTCATTCTTGATGACAACCTCTAATCCGTGGTGCCGCAATTGAGCTCGTAGCAGCAGGTTCTTATTTTTAAGATCTTCCACCTGGCATGGGAAAGAGGCGTGGTGAATGGGTAGAAAAGTTGGCCTGCCAAGTCCCTGAACTCATTCAGACTTCTGCTAGTGAGGAGGAAAACGTAAGGTGCTCTCTGTGGAGAACAGAGGAGGGGGTCCCATGCTGGGCTGGTGGCTACAAGGGTCAAGGCACTGTCCCAGGGCCAGGGTCTGACCTGCTGTCGAAGCACATCGTTGTCCAGCTGCAGCTGATCTAGCCCCTGAAGTTCCTCAGACAGCCGGTGGTTACTCTGCCGCAGCTCCTGGATGTAATCACAGGCTTTGGACAGAATTCCACCTTTACTCTGCAAGACAAAGCCAACAAAATGAGACAAGGATTTAAGATATCTAGCTTGTTCTCCAAAAACATCACCACATTTTGGACCTCATTCCTCCTCCTCTCCCCTAAAAATAGTGATATAACATCTCCCAAGGATACAGGAGCCTCAGAAAGGATATGAAAAGACTACTGCCTTTTGTGGCCTGCTCTCTACCATGTTTGGAAACACCAGAGGACAGAATTCAGGCCTCCTGTCCCCTCCAGGGTCTTTCCATGACCTGGCCAGACTTGGTACTCTCCATTGAGCAGTCCGGGATGATCTTGGACAGCTGTACGATCCAGTTGTTGATCTTGTCTCGGCGGCGGCGCTCCACTGTGGGCCAAAGTGGAGGACAAGGTGACTCAGTGAAAACTCAGGGTCCTAATCAGGCCTCCTCCCCCTAGACATGCTGTCCGCCCTCTCACCAGACATCTCCTGGCTTCGCACCTGGATCAGACCTACCTTCATTATGCTGAGCCCTGCGTTTCTCATCCCGAGTGGTCCTTGGAGCTTCTGACTTCCTGACAACACAGCACAGGGTGGCCAGAGTGAGGAAAGGACAAAAACAAGATTAGAGTCTGGGGTAAGGAATTAGCCAAGATTTAGCAGGTATTACAACCACTCATGGAAACTGCGAAGACACAGGGTCACTCACGGGGAGTAAGGGTGGGTCCTGGGGGCAATCGAGCGCTGGCTCCCTCCCTGCAATACTTCTTGTGGTGACATCATCACAAAAAACTGACCTGTGAAGATGCGGGGTAGGTTCTGTCAGGACTTGGGACGAAGAACCTCACCAGCGCCTTGGGGCCCTTCTCAGACAAGACTGCGCTCCCTCCTGCTAGTAGGACAGCCTCAGGCTCACTGCCCAGGCCCTAGTGATCACCAAGGGTCACGAGTAAAGGCCCACGGGCCCCCGCCACATCCCAAGGCCTGTCCCAGCCCCTCCAGCTGGCACCCTGGTGCCATAGCTTACCAGTGCCGGGAGGGGTCGACTGTCCCAGCAGTGCCTCCGAGCCCTGGGTAGTAACGACAGCAGCTGTACTCCCCGAAGTGGTACCCCCAGCCCCATCTCCCACTGCAGTGCTGGGGAAGTAGGTATAATGTGTCTCAGCAGCTGTCCCCTCTGTGTCAACTGCATCCTCACTGGTGAAAGCACCCTGAATCACCGCCTGGGTAGAGGAGTAAGAGAACAGAGTCCAATGACAGTCAGATACGTCTTCCTGTTGTACCTCTGTACAGCTTCTATGCCTTGCGGGAGGGAAGGTGAAAGAGCTAGAAAGGGAGAGCCTAGTGCCTTGGGTCAAGGCAGCCAAAGACGCCTCACTGGATGTAGTTTCACCCCCATCCCGTTGGGTCCCTTCTTCCTCTTATTGCTCAGCTCTGGCCCCTCCATAGCCCATACCACTGTACCTGGGTCATGGACTGAGTGGCAGGGTAACCACTGATGGCTCCAGTGCCCTCAGTCTGGCCATCCAGCTGCCCCTCAGACACCTGGATCACCCTGTACATCACCTAGAGCAGAGAAGGGAGAAGAACAGGAAAGGAAGAGAGAAGAAAAGAGTATGCATTGGGAATCACAGGGCCCATAATAAAGCTTCCCCTGGACAGGGAAACACAAGACTTCTGCAGAGACAGAGTCAGCCATTCTCCCTTCTTTCCCCATATGATGGTTTCACCCCACCTTTACCCCACATCAATCCAGACTCCAAGCCTCTTATAGCTTCCACCCGCAAGAGTCCACACTGTCACCTCATCCTCCAAGCCAGGTCTCCCAAGACACATTCAATTACCTCCCTCAACCCAGCCCCAAGTAACACCTGCAGCCACCTGGCTCCCTCCCTTACCTGGCCCCCATTCTCAGTTCGGAAGACGTACTTGACGTTGGGGTCAGGGAAGGTGGCAGCTGACTGGATGCTGGCAATAGCCACACTGGTTGGGTCCTCCCCAGTAGCCACTGCACCTGGAAAGGTCTGTGAGTTAAAGGCCCCTCTTCCTCACTCTGTGCCACTTGCATGTTATTTTGAAGAAGGAAGGTGCACAGGAAGCGGGCCAGTCAGGGAGGGAAGGAAGCCATGATGGGTTCTTGATCTTGGTCCTGTTGTGTTTTGTTTTTAAATATTTTTCCTTGTCTTTTGTGTTGTTTGGTTCTGGGGATTGAACCCAGGGCCTTCACGTGAGCTAGATACCCAGTAGTTTTTTTATGTTGAAACAGGTCTCATTAAGACTTTAACTTCCCAGGCTGAGCTGGAACTTGTCCTCCTGCCTCAGCCTCCCAGAGTGCTGGAATTACAGGCCTGTGATACCACATCTGACTTTGGTCCTAGTCTCAACACTCACCTTCCTGAATCTGCACTGTTCCCTCTTCTGTTTCAGCTGTTTTCTGCTGCCTGTTTGTAGTGAAAGGAAAAAGGAAGAATAAGAATAAACAAGAAACTCACTGGCCAGTAACATATGGCTCCCAAACTCATTGCCATGGGATGTTGGGTTAGGTTAGAATAACAACTAGGGTTCACTCAGTGTCTACCAAGTACTCAGGCAATAAACTAAGCACTTAAACATACACTATCTTAAGTGATGGAGCTGAGACCTGAACTGAGCGCTCTGGAGCTATCACTTTTAGCTACTTAGCATTCTCCCAGGCCACCCATCTGTCATCCTAGGCCGTCTCTTCTTTACTCACCCCTTCATCTCTCTGTGAGGGGGCACATCCGAGGAAATGGTCCTTTTCTGGAGGTCTTTGTATCTCCTAACTCACAGGCTTCAGTGCAGTCCTGATAGAAATCACAGAGTTTGCTGTGAGTCCAAGAAACTAGCTTCCCTAGTTTTAGAACAGTGATGACGAACCTTTAGAGCTTTCAATGACAACAAACACCCAGCTGTGGGATGCATGCCATAGGTTCATAGGTTCGCCATCACTGTTCTAGAACCTAGGCTCTAGAGAAGACACAGCCAGTAAAATAATCTAATCATCTGCAGGGAACAATCAGCTTCACCCATTCTGATGTTTTTTGTTTTTTTGTTTTCTTGGAACAGCATCATTATGTAGTTCAGGCTGACCTTGAACTGAAGATTTTCCTGCCTCACCCGTACTGGGATCACAGGCATGTGCCACCACGCCCAGCCCCACCCATTCTGATGTTGCTCTGCCCTGCAGTGATTGATACAGCAGCTTTACAAATAGCGTTCTTCACCCCCTCCATTACCACTTAAACTTCTGGTGGAGAGGGGATAACTACACCAGAAGACTGAGAAACAACATCCTTTTGAAAGGATTGTTACTGTAGCTATCATGGGCTATTATTAAAGCTATTATGATCTGCCATGACAGCAGCTACATGGGGGGGGGGGGGGTTAGGACCATCACTGTCAAAAAACACAGGGTCCCAGCCTGGGCTACCTAGTGAGTTCAAGGCCAGCCTGAACTACATGGTGAGATCCTGTCCAAAACAAAACAAAACACTAGGGTCATGGACACTAATACTTCTTACAGCTTTTTTCAGACACAAAATATACAACAAGAAATTTCTGTTCTGCTCTTGGGCCCCATCTTACTGACACAGGGCTCTTGTTTTGGAGTTCCAGATTTATAGCATCTGTTAGAAACCTAATGCCCAAGTGCATGGCATTCAGGCCTCCTCTATTTTATTCATCAGGCCTTCCAGTAGAAGTGTTGAGCGACACAGTTGCTAAAATATACAGTGTACAGCAACATGGTTGCTAAAATGTTGCCATGACAACTCCAAGTCAACCGAACCTCAGCAAGAAGGGAAAAAAAAACTCCAGGGTCAGGATTCTGCCGAAGAAAAGACAATAGGGAAGGAATCCATCTACAAGGTGCCTGCCTTAGGACCCTGACACCCAGCCAGAGGACAGGAAAAACAAAGGGCTGAGCAGACAGATGCCTCCAGAGTGCTGCACAGTGTAAAACAGATACTGTACACAGTATAAAAGATACAGTTGCTATACAGCATAAAACAATAAAATCCCGACATGAAAAGGTCACACTTTTGTAAATTCTCTACCCACGAGGTTCCCCAAACCTTTTTATCCAAGAAAAATTTTACCGGTTAAGACTTGGAAAGCCCGAGTTTCGAAAAGAAAAGAAAAAAAAAGGTAACAACAATTACAACAAAAAGGAACTGAAAGTGAAACTATCTATGGGAAGTAACGCTGCAAGGAGACTCCCGTCCCTGAGGGGAAGTACTGTAGCGCTAGTGTTTTGGGACCACCTCCATCTCCATCCCCAAACCCAGAGAAGGAAGTGCTCTCCGAGGCTGACTGCGCCGACTGCAGGAGAAGGTAATGAAAGAGAGCATAGGAGGCATCTCTATCGCCCACAGCTGTCAGCCAGAGAGCCTCCGAGAACACCCTGCAACCGGGTCAGGCTACTTATTCAAATCTTAGTTGGACATCCGGAAGCATTTCCTGAGCATTAAGAATATGTGGCGCGGAAATTAGGATAGCATGTTGTGGTTTGCACGCTCGAGCAAGGAGGGCCCAGCACAAGCCCTTGCTAAGTCTGGACACAAAGGCGGAAATCAAGTTTTGAAAGAATTCAGGCGCCCAGACCTTGCCTGGGAGTGCGGCGCCTCCCTGTAGGCCCGGCACACAGACGGCGCCCGGGGAGCCGAGCCCGCGACGAGACCGGGCCCGGCTCGTGGCACTCGCCGTGTATCCCAGCTGCTCCCCGGAGGTGGCAGCAAAGGGCGCCGGGGACTGGGGGGTCCCCCGGCCGGGCAGCGCAGGAGGGCGGGGATGTACGCGCCCGGCCCACAAAGCGGGTAGGAGAGAAAGGGGCAACGGCCCCCTCCAAAACAAAGGCTTCCTCCCCGTTTCCGAACCCCCAAAACTGAAACAAAATCAAACCCACCCCGCCCGCCCAGTCCACCCCGCCTCCAGACTCCTGCGGGGTCCTCACTCACAGGCCACAGCCGCTCTGGCCGCCGATTTCCCCAGACAGTGTTCTCCCTCTCCCGACCCTGCTATCTCCATAGACAACTGATCATGCGCACTCCCAGCTCGCGGCCATGTCGGTGAGGGGCGGAAGTGTCTCCGCCACCCGCCCAGCCCACTCATCGCCTCCGAGCAGCCCCACTTCCGTTCGTTCAGTCACGTTGAGGGCCGGCGGATGCGTAGGTGTATGGTGTGTGTGTTGTGGGAGTGTCTGTGGTGCCGAAAAGAAGCAGTATTCTGGAGGATGTTGGACTTTTCGGCCAGAACGGGAAGAAAAACGACTAGCTTGGGCTTCCACCTTTGTGCTAGGCAGGGCCTTGATAATTACAAGAAAAGGGAGTGAGGGAACCAGCTGAGAGCAAAGAAGACCGTCGGGCGGAGGCGCCATCTTTAACAAGGGCTGCAGTGTTTGAGAGACCATCTTGGGTCAGGGCATCATTTTGAAGGGTTTCCAACTAGCCCCAACTAGAGATGGGGACGTATCAGGGCATACTTAGATGTGAGCATATGCCTTTGAATTGGTGTCAGCAGTCACTCAGACCCGGGGCTTCCAGATTTTCTTAGGGTCGCACTTCCCCTGAGCAGAATCTTGACTCCCAATTTGTGTGTATGGTTGGTAGGTTTATTTTTTGAGACCGTCTCATTATGTAGTTCGGGCTGGCCTGGAACTTTGCCTGCCTCAGCCTCCCAAGTGTGGAATTACAGGCGTGTGCCGCCACCCCCGGCTTTGATTCCCATTCTTATTCAGAATGTACTGATAAAGGATTTTGAGTATTATGATATAATAGGAAGAATTCAGACCCTGGGGTTAGATGAATCCTGACCTCAAACCCACCTCTGTCACATCTTTCAGATCTTTGGCAAAGTTTTTGGGTTTTGGTTTTTTGGGGGGTTTTTTGGTACTGGAGATCAATCAAACTCAGGACCTTGCCCTTGCAAGGCAGGCACAGTGCCACTGAGCTAAATCCCGGGCCCTTTGGCAAAGTATTTTGACTTAATTGAACCTTAGTTTCCTCATCTGTAAAATGTACAGAATTGTTATGTGGATTCGATGAAATAAAAGGTGAAGTTTTTATCTACACAGCGTATCTAGCTCAGTTCCTGGCACAAAATGAGCATTATGTAAATGTAAGTTTCTCTTCCCCATTTCCTGACCACCATGAACCCAGCTCTAGTTTCTAGCCACAAGTTTCCTTGACAACAGCCAAGGAAGAGCATCCCCCCTCCTTGACATTTGGCTAAATACATGAAAATATGATCCTTATCACCCAAAACTTTAATGAGTCACCATGCTGTTCAAATGTAAAAATACAACTTATTCTGAAACATTCACCCTTACTAGAGTGGGGCCTGTGGCCCCACCTGTATGGAGAAGCAATCCTAGGTCCTCTGTCATCCCATTCCCCTCTCCTAAAATGGGAGGAAATTATTCCAAAGGAAAAAGAGCAATCTGTATGGGACTTCTCTTCTGTAAGATGATGAGAGACAAAGGATGGGGTCCAGTCCTTCCAACAAACACTGGGGATTCAAAGAGCTTCTTGGACATGTTCCTCCTAAACTGGAGCTAAGCGGGACAGAAGATATCTAAGGGGCTAAGAACAGAACAAGAATGGGAAGTTCTAGAAGTTTCTGTACGTGAACTCCGACCTGATCTTGTATTCTCCGCCCCTACCTTGGACTTCTGCAAAGAGAAGCCTCAGAGAAGGAGCTTGGTTGGAATTCCCCCTCTTATTCTTCACTTTGAAAAGTCTCTAAGTTTTCTGTCTTCTTTGTGTTCCCTTTGGTCAATGACCACGCTTCATGGGAACAGGATCTTGCTGACTTTCTTGAGAATCTCTTAAGAGTGCTTTGTGTCTGAGGCAAGCTGAAGTAAACCCACCAAGATGGTGCCTCCCACAGTCAAAAAGAGTTGCTGGAGGGCCAAAACCTGTACACGGGGACACTACAGCTGCTCGGGAAGCAGAAGGGACAGCCAGTCAGGGAGCCCAGAGATTCCAGGTTAACTTGTTGGTCTGCTCTGCCCAGTGCATGGTTCCTAATCACAGTCCTCCTTTCCCAGGGCTCACTTGTGTTTCAAATGCATATGATCTGCGTTGAGGGGACAACAGGGGGACAGGAGGCTGGGGTTCTCTGGAGGGCAGACTAAGCCGACTCCGGGGTCCAGAATCTTCCGTACCTTCAGGCGGGAGCTCCAGGCAGCTAAGGGGCCGAGGTGAATAGGCAGGGATGGTGTGACACGGGGAGGTTCTGTGGATGAGGCTGTAGTCCCCACCCCCAGTGCAGGTCTGGGTCCGCCGAACTCCCTGAGCCTCTGTCCTCTGGCGGTCCCGGGCCAGTGCCACAGCAGCATCAAAGGAAAGACTGCCCCCATTCCTCCAAGAAGCTCGGGAAGCTCGGGACACCCATGCCCTCTCTCCAGGAATCCCATCAAGCCGCCCAGGCCTTGGACATGGGTTTGCAGGTGCCACGTGGATTTTGCTACACATTGTACTGGGCACCTTGGCAAACTGTGGTTTAGGGGGCACTACAGGTACAGAGCGAACCTGCTGGACATGAACCAGGCTGGAAGTCAGGCGCATGCCCACACTACCAGCTGACCCAAAGGGACAGGGGCACAGATCACAGCCCACGGAGCTCAGCCGTCCCTCAGTTTCTGTCTCCTCTGCCTGGGGTGGCTGTGGGGTTGCCTGTTCCATCTCAGAAAACTGGATGTTGCCCTCGTTGGTACTGTCAACTTCTAGGAACTCTACACCTGGCCCTTCAAAGAGGGTCCCTTCTTCCAAATGGCCATCTCCAGCCCTCTGGTCTCTCTCTGCCTGTTCAGCCCCACACTCCGGTTCCTTGATGACCACGCCTGATTCAGCTGCGGCTTCTGGGCTTCTGCCGTCTTCACCATGTCCTTGGTCTTCTCTTGCCTTATGATCTTCATCCCCCTTCTGCTCTTTGACCTCACGCTGTCGGCCTCCCTCGGCCTCTTGTTTGTGTACATCCCACTTCTCCTTAGCAACAGGGTGTTCCTGGGTCCCGTGCTCTGGGTCCCTTCCAACTTCTAGGGGGGCTTCCTCTCCTCCTTGCTGAGCCTCTTCTCTTTTGATTTGTTTTTCCTTCTCCCTGTCTTTATCCTGTTCTCCTCTTGGTTCCTGCACATTCTTAGCTTCCTCTATATCTTCAACTGCCTCCTGTCCTTGGGACTTCTCTCCCTTGGCCTCCTTCTCTTCCCCGTTGGCTTCTTCCAAGCTAATTATCCCCTCTTGGCTTCCTTCAGCCCCCTCCCCTTCCTCGCCACCCTTTCCATCCACCACCTCCATCTCTGGACCCCCCTTGGCCTCTTCTCTGATGTTCAGTGTCTTTCCAGGCTCCGGCTCCTTGTCCTCCCCAACTCCCCAGCATTCTTGCTCTTCTTCAGCCCGCCTTGGAGCTTGTCTTTCAAACCCTACTGCCTCTTCCTCCATACTCCCTACACTCTCCCACGTCAGGGATTGAGGACCCAGAAGAGGACTTAGGTCATCATAAGCACTCAGGAAGACTTCTTCCCCATTTTCCTCCTCCACTTCAGGCTTGGGGCCAGCAGAGTCTAGGGAACAGCAGCTGGGAGCCAGAACGTACTGCGCCTCATCCAGAGACAGGTCATCCAGGGGTGGCTCTACCGAGAATTCTTCCACCTGTAGGCACAGCATGGTGGCTCAGAATGAGGTGGCCCTGTCTATCCTCTGGACTCCATACCACCCTCAAACCCAGTGCGGCTCCTCCTTACCTGAGGCCCAACTCCCAGGAGCTCCTCCAGGTAGCCCATCCCAGGGTCGTCCTCCCCAGGGGAGAACGCTGTTCCTGTTGCTCCTGCCTTGGCCACCTCCCCATCCTCCACCCCCACCCACTCAGGCTCTGAGCTGCTTGAGTCCTCTAGGAAGGAGAAGGAATCCTGCACCTCCTGGGACAGGCAGTCCTCCAGAGCAGGAATCATGTCCACTGGGCCTGAATCAGCCACAGGACCTGGGGCTGGCCTTGCCTCCGACTTCTCATCTGTTGAGGGAGAGATAGTCCCAGGAACACAAAAGTCAAGGCTAGCCCTGACCCTTTTCAGTGTGGGTCTTTGTCACAATGACGTGGTAGGGACCCAATACAGCTACTTTGAGTAGCTGATCCCCTCAGACCAGCATCCCTAAGTAGCGGCTTACAGCTACCATTGTGGAGCCCCTACCAGGTGCCAAATGCTGTTTTACATTTTACAAATCATCTTATTTTCTCTGCAAAACAAACTATTACATAGGGCATTGCCTGAGACTCAGAGAGATTGTGCAACTTGTCCAAAGTCACACCGCCAAAATCTGAACCCAAGGATACTTAATTCTACATCCCATGTCCTTACCCTTGTCCCATGCTGCCTCAGGACTTCTCATCTGTGCCACTTCAGGAACTGGAGTCAGAGCAAGGATCAAATCCCAGCTCTGCCTCTTCCTATCTGAGTTAATTGCAATTGCTTAACCTAAGTCTCAGGTTCCACTGCAGTAATATAAGGATAACAATAATACCTATGTCATAAGATGTTGAGAAAATGAAAAGAGATGATGCCTACAAAGTGCCTAACACAGCCCTTGGCACATAATAAACCCTTGGTAGGAGTTAGCTGTTAATGCTACTGTGATTATTACCACCACCTATCATAAAAATCCTACCCTTGTATTTAGTAATTCCTGCTGTGTGTGTGACACAGACCCCATCCTTGGGTACATCAGTCATCTGAAGGCTGCCAGAGAGCCCCTCTCTGTAGATTTCACACCACCTGATCACATTGCTGGGCACCCCAATCCTGAATTCAGTGAGGCAGCTAAAGGTAACCACCCCAAAGCATGTAGGCTAAGGCCTTTACCATCCTGAGGTACATCCTCAACATAAGAATTCAGCCTAAAGTCTGGTGCTCTTTCCAGTCCTCAGCAATCCCTGGGTCCTCACCTGGGGGTCCAGGGCCAAGGCCAGGGCCAGGACCAGGGCCAGAGGCAGGGCTTGGCCGGGGCTGTAGGGCAGGGCACTCAAGGCCACGGGTGAGCCTGGCCAAGGAGACGTTGGAGATGATATTGGGAGGCACACTGAGGATCGAGGTGATGTGCAGCGGGAGATTGACGTTGTAGGGGTCTGAGATGTGGACACCAGCACAGCGTTCTGCACGGCTGCTGCCTCCAACCCGGATGGCTGACCGCCCAGCTCTCGGTGTGCCTGGCTCCGAGTTCGTGCCACCTGGTGCCTCTGCTTCAGGCTCCTGTTCACCCTCTACTGTCTCCATAGAATTGTTCTCCAAACTCTCAGAAAGCAGTGGGCCTGGACCGAGACTGCTGGGCCCTGCCAAACCCTCTGGCTCTGTGGAGGAGAGGGCCAGGGAGGCAACAGTCTCAGCTTTCAAGGGCCTAGCCACCTCTGGAAGGCTCTGGAGAAAGCTCACTGCAGGGCAGCTTAGAAAGTACCAGGCCTGACTTCCCTTGGCCATTACTGTATAGCCTCTGCCCAGCCAGCAGGCCAAAAGTCACCTCATCTACACATACCTAGGAAACCCCTTTCCCTCCCTGCAATTACAGTCACTGGCCATTATTCCCCTCCACCACCATGCCCCACATGGTCCCTTCCTGTACAAACATTCATGGACTGGCCCATAGAGTAGATGATAAGCTCACCAATGTAAACTTGGCATCTATCCACAATGGCTGGCGTATAATAATCAGCACTCATTAAATATTTTTGGTCACGTTTACAACCACACACAGGCCTGCACTATTGCTCACACTGCATAGGCACACCCAGGAGAGCATCCCTATACTCACCATCACTGGCCCCAACTGCAGCACTCAGTGAGTCCATGCTCTTGGCTGGCCGCAGTGTCCCTTTATTGGGTTTGTCCTCTGAAAGACAGGGATGTGCACAGAGCCAAGGGCCTTGCAAATCCTTGCCAGAGCCCCCCTGTTCTGCCCACACTTACCCCTGTCCTCAGCCCCCCGTGGAAGTTTTCTCTTTGTCTCATGACCAGAGCGACCCAGATTGAAGATAGATCTCCACTTCCTGACTTTCAAAGATCCCTTCCTCCTGCAGGTGATGGAGAAATAATTGGGGATTGGAGCTTGGTGATCAGTGCAGGCGAGGAGGGCTCTGAGGAGGCCTTACTTGTGCTCTGCAATCTCAATGATAGTGTGGTAGGGCCGTATCTGAGGGGGTCCATCACCAGCTTGCAGGACGCTAGGCACGTGGCAAGGTAGAGACCTGGGCATGAGGTCATCAGGGTTGCCTAATGCCCGGGCCCCTGGAGTTGATCGCCATCCACTCTCCATCTCACCACCTAGGAAAAGAAAAGGAATTGGTGAAGAACAGAGCCCAGAGAGAGACATCAGGCACCCCAGCCCTTCATGTCCCCTCACCAACTGCCAACTGGGGATATAGTCAGTGGTCCCAGAAGACAGTCCCTCCATTTACAGCTCCACAAGAACATGTTCTCATGAACAAAGAGGGCCAGCAGATCCCAGGACACTGGCCTAGTGGGGTGGGGATGAGGTGAGCTGTCACTAGCTTTGGGAGCCAGGATAATGACTTGGAGGTCAAGCTATGCCTTGGACGGACAGCAAAGGGGCCTGACTCCACTGTTATCTCTCCAAGATCCTCTCCACGTGACTGACCATCACCAACAATTCTCAAGACTCAGTTTTCCCGTCTTCAAAATGGGGAAACTGAACTAGTTAACCTTCAATGTTGTTTAAAACTCTGACAAAGGTAGGCAGGATGGTGCAAGCCTATAATCTCAGCACACTAAGAGGCTGAGACAGGAGAATCACAAGTTGAAACCCAGCCTGGGCAACTTAGTGAATTACTGAGACCCTATCTCAAAATAAAAACTAAAAAAGGACTGGAGATGTATCTCATTGCGAAGGCCTTGGGTTCAATCCCAAATACTGGAAAAGAAAAGAAAGAAAGAAAGAAAGAAAGAAAGAAAGGAAGGAAGGAAGACTCTGATAAGACTCCCCAGACTGAGAGTGGTGATATGTGACGGACATGAAGGACACTGACCAGAGAGGAGGGCTGCGCCCCCAAAGAGCTGATCCACGTGCGTGAGGATGAACTCCACGACGATGGACTGCACTCGCACCTCCATGAAGGCCGCTGTCCCATTGAAGCCTGAGGCCTCTATGTCCTTAGACCTGTGGAGATGTGGAGCTGTGCTCCCCCAGCCTCGCCACAGTTTCCCATCCAAACTCTCCCTGAAAACCCTTATACCAATGATAGTGAACCTTTTAGAGCTTTCAAACAGCCAGCTGCAGCATGCATCCCGTAGGTTCGCCACCACTGCCTCATACTCTCTCGCTTGCTTCCCCTTTAGCTCATCTCCACCTCTTAAGCCATGAACATGTGCAAGTCTCAAATGCCACTTCCCCCAGGAAGCCTTCCTTGGACACCTCAGGATTAATCTTTAATTTCTTTGCACATCTCCTCACACTGTGGTACAAGATAGACTAGGAGAAGTGCTGCATTTCACAATGCCTGTTCCACTGTGAGTGATACTCTGCCAGTTCTCCAATAGACTGAACAACATTTGATCAACAAACATTAGGCAAGGACCTCTCATATTCCTGTCCTGGGCCTCAGGGGTAGAGGGTAGGAAAAAGCAAAGGCCTTCCCTTTATGGACTTGACTTGATCTCAGAGAAGGGGCTCGAATGGGTGGGCCTCATCCCACTCAACTCATTCATGAGATCCCACCCTGTTCTGCAGTGTACTCACATAGCCACACCCCATCCTAGGAACAGCCTTCCGGAAGTTAAGGCCTCCTAGGATCCCCACACCACACACCGCCCCCACACACCCACCTCAGCAGGTTGGGGGCCCACACAATGGCCAGGTTGCGTGCATGCATGTTGGTCTGGGCGCTGAATGAGGCCATGTGCACTAAGTGTCTCATGAGAAACTCCAGAGTCCTGCAGAAAGTGGGGCAGGGATCACACAGGGAACACCCCGACCAGGCCTGGGAGCTGGGAGGGACAAGCCCAGCAGCAGTGGGGAGAGAGACTGGGTTGGCGGGGGGAGCCTCCCACCCTCCCAGGGAGGGAGCCTCACACACCTGTAGTTGGGGGCAGGCAGTTCTCGAAGCACCTCTAGAATCTTGACCAAGCGCTCAGGCTCTAATTGCACAGCAACAGCCTCCTGATGGAGGAGAAGGGTGTAAGAAGCAGGAGTTGGTGATCCAGCAAGCCAAGCCCTCAGGGCCAGTCTGCTGAAGGTCACACTGCTCCCACCCTGATCCTCCAGCACTCAGAATAGCAGAAAGACCTCAGATTTCATAAAAGATAGCAGCTGAATCTTGAATGTGCTGCTCAATAGTTTTCTGACCTGGAGTAACTCACTGCCATTCCCTGCCTCATCATCCTCATTGGTAAAGCTTGGCCCTGGGGTTTCAGGGACTACACAGTTGTCCTACATCCACCCTGTGTGGGCTGAGCAGGGCACCACTGCTGTCCAGGGTCCCTCAATGTCTTGCACAATAAAGTGCAACTTATTCAAAGTGTTACTCAATTCAGGAAACCAATTTTGTCATGTGTTTTCTCATTCAAAAGAGGTTCAACATACAATTACAGTTCATGGCAGGGCATCCCTGAAAAAAGTTTTGACTTCAAATAAGTGCTCTTCTTCTCTATCTCCTGAAGTCTGGGTGCAGCCTGAGGGCCTTAGGGGGAGGACACTATGGAGGGAGAAGGAAAGGAAGACAGACCCAAGGCAGGGCAGAGGGAGCAGGGTCAGGAGATTTGGGGAGGAAAGATCTTTTCCCCAGACTGCTTTGCTGTGGCCTCTGGCATTCAGGATCATGAGGACTCTGGTTGGCCTGTGATACACCTGTCAAAACCAGAGTGGCCACCTCTGGTTTTCCTCTTCCACCATTAACCCCCACTCTCAACTCACAGCAAACTTGTCATACAGCCGGTAAGTGAGCAGGGGATCCGGCAGTTCTCTGAAATAGGCCTTGCACAGGGAGGAGACGCAGTGAATGTCCTGCAGGTAAACATCCCGCCGCAGGTCTGGCTTCCGCTCTGTCTCAAACTCCTGCCTGGGGACGTGCAGAGTGCTCAGGAGTGGGAGGATAAGGGGTAGAGTGGGGAGAGGGTACCAGAGCTGTAGAGATGGCTCCACACAGGCTTACGGGGTGACACGTGTGGCACAAGGACAGAGTATGTGTACATACATCTTGGGGTATGTGTACATAACATATGGCCAGCACTTATGGCGCTGTGTACGTGACATGTAGGTGTGGGTATGGATAGGTAAGTGGTTTGTGCATGGACAGGTTAGGTCAAGGACGTCACTGTAGCTGTGGGTAGCAATGTAGGGGTTATGTGGAGTCAGGAGACTGGGGTAGTGGACCTAAATGTGCACCTCTGGGTAAGTGTAACAATGGACAGATGTAACTGTTAGAAACGTGTGAACCTTTGTGACCTTGGTTGGATTTGCCAACAGTTACTCAAATATAACATCAAAAGCACAAGCAGCCAAAGAAAATAGATAATTGAACATCAAAAATGGGAACTTTTGCATATCAAAGGACATTCTCAAGAAAATGAATTTTAGCTGGGGATTTAGCTCAGTGGCACTGTGCCTGCCTCACAAGCGCAAGGACCTGAGTTCGATCCCTGGTATCAAAAAAAAATAAAGAAAAGAAAAAAGAAAATGAACTTTAGCCCAGAATGGTGGCACGCACCTGTAATCCCAGCATTCAGGAGGCTGAGTCAAGAGGGTTGCCATAAATTTGAGCCCAACTTGGGCTACAAAGTGTTCATGGACACTTGAACTACATAGTGACACCTGTCTCAAAAAACAATAACAACAAAGTGAACTCTAGATTCGATCCCCAGAACCATGCCAAAAAGAAAATCTACAGACTGGGAGAAAATATTTTCATTTTGAATATGTAAAGACCTCTTATAACTCAGTGAACCAACAAAATAAAACAAAAACCCAAATAACCTAGTTTAAAAATGGGTAGGGCTGAGGATATAGCTTAGTGGTGGAATACCTGACTAGCATATGGAAAGCCCTGGGCTCCATTTCCAGTACCAAGGGAAGAAAATAAAAACAAATAACAAAGGATTTGAATAAGCATTTCTCCAAAGAAGAAATATAAGTGACCAATAAGCACGTAGAAGGATGTTCAACATCATTAGCTACTAGGGAAATAAAAATATAAATTGTAATATCAGTTCATACCCACCAGGATGGCTATAATAAGAGAGATACAGTAGCAATTGTTCCCAGGGATTGTGATGAAACTGGAGCCTCATACATCGCTAGTAAAAAGTAAAATAACACAGCAGCTATGAAAAAACAGTTTGGAAGTTACTTTTTTTGTTGCTGTTGTTACCGGGAATCGAACTCAGGCACTTGCACTTGCGAGGCAGGAACCAGAACCACTGAGCTAAATTCCTGGCCCTGGAAGTTACTTTAAAAGTTTAAAATATAGTTCGTTATCAATTGGCTCAGCAATTCCACTTTTAGGTATAGACTCAAAAGAACTGAAAAATGTATATCCACAAAACACACTAGCAGAATTATTCACAACAGACAAAAGGCAGAAACAACCCAAGTAGCCATCAGCTGATGGATGAATAAACAAAACACAATACAGCTGTACAATGGGATATTGTTCATCCATAGAAAGGAAGAAAGAACTGGTACATGCTACAACATGCATGACCCTTGAAAAGATTCTAAGTGAGAATACAAACTACATAGACACATAGCACCCCATTTTTATGAAATGTTCAGAGTAGGCAAATCTATAGAGACAGAAAACAGATTAGTGGTTGCCAGGAACTCAGTGAAGAGGAAATGTGGAGTGACTACTAATGGACACTGAGTTTCTTTGGGGGATGATGGAATGTTCTGGAATTAGATAGTGATGATGGTTGCACAATGTTGTGAATATACTAAAAACCATTGAATTATACTTTTTTCCAGTACTAGGGATTGAACCCAGGGGGACTCTATCACTGAACTACATCTCCAGTCTTTTTTATTTCCTATTCTGAGACAAGGTCTTGCTAAATTGCCCAGGTTGACCTCAAACTTGCAATCCTCCTGCCTCAGGCTCCCAAGTAGCTGGGATTACTGGTATGTGCCGTGGCACTAGGCTTTGAAGTATAGATTTTTTTGTTTGTCTGTTTGTTTGTTGTTGTTTTGTTTTTTTGGTACCAGGGATCGAACTCGGGACCTTGCACTTGCAAGGCAGGCGCCAGAACCACTGAGCTAAATCCCCAGCTGAAGTATACATTTTTAAATAGTGAATTTTATGGTATGTGAGTCCTATCTAATTTTTTTTAAAAAGCTAAGTGGATATATATGGGAATGATATATGTGGGAGTAGAAATTATATGTGTGTGTGTTTACGAGGTGTGTGTGTGTGTGTGTGTGTGTGTGTGTGTGTGTGTGTGTGTGTAGGGCCTCAGCCCATGGTCTCTGCTTCGCCCAAGCTCCACCCTGGGACAGTACCTCTCTCTGCATTCCCCTCACCCTTTCTCTCTGCTTTCCCCAGCAGCTCTTACCATGGCCCTCTGGATCCCTGGCCTTCTGGCCTCCTAGCCACAGAGCCCTTCCACACTGCCGTGTGACTCACCGGAGCTTCTGGATGTTGGAGGAGACCCCTGAGAGGCGGTAAATCCCATCCACCACACCATACTCCTCCACAAACTCTGCACAGCTCCTTAGCACTTGGGGCACTGGAGACACAGACAGGCAAAGAGCAAGAAATCAGAAAGTCTGTAGGGATCTGAGAGATGGAAGCATCGGGGAAACGGGTTGGGGACATTGAGGGCAGACCTCATGGAACAAATGCTTTTCAGACATTCATGATGGTACATGGAGCCTGTAATCCCAGAACTCAGGAGACTGAGGCAGGAGGATCATGAGTTTGAGGCCAACCTGGGCTACAAGATCCTGTCTCAAAAAAACTAAAAACAAAAACAAGCAAAATCCAAAAAAACCAACAAACTTGTCAGAAAGATTGTCATAGAGCACCCACTCCAACCTGTCAACCTCTGCAGTATCTCTACCCCCTAGTCCTGGAGCCTTGGTATAAACCCCTCCAGGCTAGCCTCAAACTCCTGAAGTTGTGTGATCCTCCACCTCAGCCTTCCCGGTAGTGGGGCTATATGCATGCACTGCCATGCTCAGCTTAATGGGGGTCTTTTGAAGCACCCCCTCTGGTTAGAAAGCTCATGGCTATTAGTTCTGCTATAGGAAAGTACGTGAAACAGTGACTGACTTCCAAAGGGGGAAGTGCTCTGTGCCAGGCGCTGTGCTTATTGCTTGTGTGTGTGCTGTCATTTAGTCTTGTAAATTACATCTGCTACTTCCCATTTCACTGATAAGAAAACTGAGGATCAAAGAAGTAACCAGTGCCCAGCAGCATCCCACCAGAGCCAGGATTCAATTCAATGCAGCAAAAAGCTGTATTCTCTCTCCTTCCTGTCAGTAGACTGTAAGCTCTTACAGATAAGATTTTTGGTTTTTGTTTGTTTGGGTTGTTTCGTTATTGCTGTTGTTTTTGAGACAGTATAACTGTGTAGTACAGGCTGGCCTTGAACTCACTATGCAGCCCCACCTAACCCTGGAACTCATGATCCTCCTGCCTCAGCCTCCTGTGGGCCAGGATTACAGGCATGTGCCACCATGCCCAGCTCTTCAGGACAAGATTTAAGTGTGACCTGTCTTTGTATTCCTCATATTATCTGACTTGATGTCAGATAGAAACCATGATAAATGGACACGATAGGTCCTCGAAAACCATGTGTTGAATCTCCACTCCATGAAGCCACATAGTTCTATTTCCCAAGCGCTTCCTTGTTTTAAATCTTTTGCTACACATGCCCCCAGCCCTGCTCCAGCCAAGTACCCATTGCTTACCTTACCGATACAGAATGAAGCATAAACTCCTCAGCTTGGTATGTAAGACCCTCACAGGCCAAGTTCAGCTATCATTCCATTTTCACCTGTAGCCATTTCCCTGACAAACTCTACAATCCAGCCCTTGACAAGTTCATGAACAAATAGGTACCGTGACTCATCATCACAGTGTGGATGTGATTTGGCCTTCAAAGACTCATGTGCTAGAAACTTGGTCCCCAGTGTGGCAGGGACACATTTAAGAGGAGTGGCCTGGTGGATGGCAGTTAGGTCATGGGAAACTTGGGAGTGGGATGAGTCTTGTGAAGCTGCTTAATTCTCATGGGAATGGATTGATATAAGCAAGGACACCCAGGTGTTTGGTTCCTGCTGCATACAGCTAGCTCCTTTTCCACTTCTCTGCCACACTGTGACACTATCAGGTGACCCTTGCCAGGATGTTGGCACCAAGCTGTCTGAACCCTCCAGAATTGGGAGCCAAATAAATCTCTTTATAAGTTACCCTGGTCCAGGTATTCTGCTATAGCAACACAAAACAGACTGACACTCATGTTATTCTCTTTCCTGGAAATATCCTCCCCTCTGACTGGTGAACTCTTTTTTGGGGGTACCAGGACTCAAACTCAAGGCCTTGCACTTGCCAGGCAGGTGCTATGCTGCTGAGCTATATCCCCAGCCCTCTGACTAGTGAACTCTTATACATTCCTCAAAGCATATCTCAAACACCATCTCCTAGTGGCACAGTGACACATTGCTTATAGTCTCAGTTACTGAGGAGGCTGGGGCAGGAGGATCACTGTGAGTTCGAGGCCAGCCTGAACTACATAGTAAGACTTGTCTCAAAACAAAAACCAAACACCAAAAAACAAAATAGAGCTGGGGTATAGGTCAGTGATAAAGTACTTGCCTAGAAGCATGAAGTTCTGGGTTTGATCTTCAGTATCGCAACACAAAACATCACATTCCCAGGGACTAGGGATGTAGCTCATGGGTAGAGTCCCTTAACTACCGTGTAAAAGGACCTGGCTTCAATCCCTAGTACAAAATAAATAAATAAACAGCCTCCAATTCTGAACCCTTTGCTTATATCTGTATTTGAGATCCCACCCCGTCCTTCTTGTATCTGTATTACAGTACTGTGTTGCACTTTGTTAGCATTAGTTTTGTTTTTTTATTTTTGGTACCAGGGATGGAACTCAGGAGGTTGTACTTTTGAGGCAGGGGGCTAAACCACTGTGCTAAATTCCAGCCCAGCATTAGTTTTCTTGTATCTATACCTCCTAACAACGGTAACATACTGCCAGCATTAGCACAGATGTAGTGTCAATGTTCAAATGTTTGTTGAATGACTCCATGGATTAATCCATCAGTTATACAAATCACTGATATCCCTTGGAGATTTCATAAAGAATATTCCTTATGACAAAATATTGGATCTTTTTCCCAGCACTTGGGAGGCTGAGACAGGAAGATCACTGCAGAGGACTGTAATATTGATTATCCCCAAGGCTGGCTGTAAAGAGTTAAGCCCATAACTGGCTCCTTTATAGAAGTGAGTCTGGCCAAAGCCTGAGTGACAAGGTCAGAGAAACTCACACCCAAATTCCGTTCCCACAACTAAATCCTTCAGGACCAGGGATTTAGCTCAGTGGTTTCACCCCCTTCTTTGGAAGTGCAAGGTCCTGAGTTCGATCCCAGGTACCTAAAAAAAATAATAAAACCTTCAGACTAGAAGGACAATATTCTGGTTACAATCATATATTTTGTCTATTTGTTCCTAATTTGAGAATGCTTTGTCTTGTCCAGTCTGAGCCTTGTTTACATTTCCATAGAAATCACTCATAGCTCACCTTTAACCCAATTGATTGTCAATAAACGTCAGTGGCTGGCCGGGATTTAGCTCAGTGGTTCAGCTGCCTGTCTTGAAAGCGCAAGGTCCTAAGTTTGATCCCCAGTACCAAAAGAAAAAAAAAGTCAGTGCCTGGGACTGGCCAGGGCTTTGTCAATTGCACTGGCACTGGTCGTCCCAGCACCCCGCTTTCTCTCCTAGTTCTGTCTCTTAGTGTATTTTTTTTCTCAGGCCTGCATTACATGCTGGGCAGATGGGGACTAGAGACACTGCAGGAGCCTCTGGAAAATCCCCATGAGTTTGAGGCTGGCCTGAGCTAAAGTGAGTTCAAGTCCAGCCTGAATTACATAGTGTGACCCTGTCTCAACAAAACAAAATATTGGATTTTTTTTTTTTTTTGAGACAGGGTCTCACTTCATAGTTCAGACTGGCCCTGAATTCACTATGTATCCCAGGCTGGCCTCGAACTTGTGATCCTTCTGCCTCAGCCTCCCGAGTGCTGAGATTATAGGCATGCACCAACACACCTGGCTAAAATATTGGATTTTAACTGGGACTCATCAGAGAAATCCCTCTAAGATGTCAGAGTCAAAAAGCTGTTTTTCTCCTCATCCACCTATTTTCTTCTTATGTGCCTTATGAGTCTTGTATAAATTATGTTTATCTCTTTAACCACTAAGAAGCTCAAAGCTCATCTCTAGGAACCCTGTGGAACCACCTGACATGAGTTTCGGGGTGCTGATCATCTGCCTGTTTTCTCTTCAATCCATTCCTCCACTTGTTTGTTCTGTATTTTAGTAGTTCAAGGTTATGGAAAGCATGCCAAGCTCTTAGTAGTACAGATATTCAGAATGAAGGAAGCTATCGATGAATCCGTCAGTCAGTATCTTTCAACTCTCCTCATCTGACCTGTTTTTCAGACCCTTTGCCCTTCTGCCCACCTCAGCCAGGACTCGGATGAAATGAGGGAGGTATCTAGAGTACAAGAGTTAAGGAAGGAAGGAAATCCTCACTCTCAGGACTGTGCAAGTGCCAACAGTGTGCATGCACGGTCCTGAGAGCAAAACCATGTTTAAGAGTGAGCCACCTAGCCATAGCCAGGTGTGGTGCTGCATCCCTATAATCCCAGGACTCAGGAGGCTGAGGCAGGCGGATCACTATGAGATTGAGGCCAGCCTGAACTACATAGCAAGACTGTCTAAAACAAACAAACAAAAAAGAGGGCCAGGGATTTAGCTCAGTGGTTCCACCGCCTGCCTCACAAGCACAAAGTCCCGAGTTCGATCCCTGGTACCCAAAAAAACAGAAAAGAATGAGCTACCTAGCTAGGCATGGTGGTGCACATCTGTAATCTCAGGACTCTGGGAGGATGAGGCAGGAGGACCACAAGTCTGAGCCTTAAAATTTTTTTTAAAGGGCTGGGGATGGGGGGTGGGAGTGGGGAGAGCTGCCTAGCGCTCTCTGATCCTGAAAGAGCACTTGCTCAGATTTTGCACCCTCAGCCAGGTTTGGTGGCTCACACCTGTAATCCCAGCACTTTGTAGGCTGAAGGAGGAGGATGGCTGCAAATTCAAAGCCAGCATGGACTACACAGCGAGTTCAAGGCCAGCCTGAACTATACAGTGAGATCCTGCCTCCAAAAAGAAAAAAAAAAATCACACCCCCATCACCTCTCTAGCCTCTGCCTCACAGCCTTACAGTTCACCATCCGTGCCCTCGGGACCTGCTCCCATTCGCCAGGCTGCCCCTGCTCCTGGGCTCTCAGTGCTGAATGCAGAGCCGAGGAGCCCCTCCCTGTTGGAGCTGTACTCTGCCCTTGGGTGGCCAGTGAGACAGTAGCTCTTTGAGCCACCTCATTACTCTGTTAGCTCATAAATAAACCCCCAGGTCCTTGCCACAGGAGCATCAGGCAAACCAGCTCTTCCCCATCCTTTTCTCAGTTGATTTCAAATCTGCAGAGAAGGCCCTGAAAGAGCACTGCAAGAGCATGAGGAGTCAGAGCCAGAGAGGAAATGGGTCAAGAGATGGGGGAAATTAACAGGTTAGAGAGATGGGGGCACCTGCGGCGGAGACAGACATCAGACAGATAAGTCAGAGATGTAAATTCAAGACGGGGTTGGAGTGCTGGAGTCCAAGGGATGGAGATGGGAAGGGCATGGGAGTGGGGTCGAGGAGGAGGACCTGAGGCTTGGGGACCTGGCAAATTTGAAACCATAGCAAGGTATTGAAGAGATGAGATTAGGAACAGGAGGAACTCAGTGCATGTAAGGCTTGAAGCAGAAAAAGCCACTGAGGCAAAGAGTTGGGGGAGATGGAGCCAGGCTGTGAGGATGCGGGAAATCAAGACTGTCAGGGAAGATCAGTTCACCACAAACAGAGATCTCTCTGGCCTGGGCTTTCATTTCATTCCTTACTGGGTCTTGTCTTAAAGAGAGAAGGTATCACCAGCCACCCGTTGTCTTTCCACTTCCCACCTCTCTGTACCAGGAATAACTGGGAGGGAGAGGGGCTACCACTGCCACTTGGTACCCAAGATCTAGCTCTCCGCCCTTGGGCTCAGGTGAGGCTCTGGTGATGGGCAGGAGGTGCTTTTCACATGCTCTGGGGTTCACTTGGGATCAGGATTCAGCAACCCGATGCATGCCCTGCACCGGCTGGGAAGGTGGGTGGAGGCCAGGAGTGGGGTCAGCGTTTCAAGGTAGGGTTGGAACCACAAGAAAGGGCAATGCCAGGAAGAGGAGGCTGAACTAAGTTTGCAACAAGCTGAGAGAAGAACATCATCTCCAGTGAAATCATGAGGTCCTCAGCCAAGAATCCTCACTCCAGAGAGGACTGCTTGTTAAGAAGTAAGCCCTGCTCAGGGGCTGTGCTGTGTTCATTCCGCCCAGGGAGAAGAGGAAGACTCCTGCCTCAGCTGTTCAACTCCCTTCCCTGGGGGGCTGGGGTTTCCCTTCGCTGCCCTTAGGCCAAAAGGGATGGGGCCCTTTGGGGGAGGAGAAAAGGGAAGGAGGTGCCTGGGCGCAAAAGGGTGGGTCTTAGAGCAGGAAATGAGCTGGGAACCACCATCACCTCCCTCTACTGCGGGCACAGCAGAGAAGGGGGCAGAGAGGAAATGACAGATTGGGGTGGGGTAAATTGGGGAGAAGAATCGTTCCCGTCTCTATGAGGAGCTCAGAAGGCCAAAAACAAGCTGGGCCGGGCAGCCAGGGTACCTGGGTTCAATTTCAAGTCAAATTAAGAAACAGTTTTGATTGGCTGCTCCACGCCACAGTGGTGAGCCCAGAGTGGTCCCTGGTCCTGCTGACCCCACTTCGCCAAGGTGCCAAAGGGAAGCATCCAGGTGACCTCCACATCCAGGGCCCACATCCACCCTCTTTTGCAACTTCCAACCAGGCCTGAGGCCACCACTTTTATCTCCCAGTGTCTTTCAGCAGCCTCTCCCCTTGCCATCCACCATTAGCCTGTTTCTCCTCTGTATGGAAAGTCAGAGGATCACAGAGACCGAAGAAAGAGGCCATCACTGGCCCACACCCTCCTGTGGCCCACCAAGGTGGCAGGGAGCCAGGTCCTTGTCCCTGGGTTCATCTCCAGCTAGAATGCCCCTTCCTCCCCAAGTGCCACCCTCAGGCTCTTGTGGTTGGGGCTGGAGGCTTCTCCTGTCTCCTTTCATTCAAACCTAGCACCGTCTACTGTCCCTTCAGCCCCTCCTCTCCTGACCTGGTCACCTCAGCTCCACCATCCTGTGCCTCATCATGGTGCCCTCCCCTCTGTCTCACCCACCTCTCCTGAGTTTCCAAACTCTCCATCCACTTGTCTCGACGACCACCCCATCCCCAGAAAGTTACACAGGGAGCCACTTGCCTTCTTCTGAGTCACATTTCCTGTTCTGCCTCCTCATGGGTCTCTTAGGTGGTGACTCTGGGCCACTGCCCCTTCCCCAGGAGCACCTAGAATCTGCTTCTGTCCCTCAGATCAGATGGGGCTGGAGGAGCTCAATAGCTGCCCACCCACCCGCCTGCCCTGAGGTGGCCTCCTTACCCTCCTGGCCTGACTGCTGCAGGTGCTCCTGCAGGTCACACCCAAACACCCGCTCCTTCGAGTTGCCCTTCTTCTTTCCTTTTTGCCGAGACTTCATGGCCGGAGCCCCAGAGCCCTGTTCCAACCACCTCTGTTCCCCAAGACCTTTGCCCTACCAGTCCCCCATGGGATCCCCACCAGCCACTGGGTTTGGCCTGGGCCCAGGGGGAGGGCTCCAAACTGGGGGTGGAGGGTGGCCTGGGCAACAAACAGCAGCTCCTGCCTCTGGGGCCCCAGCCACACGGAAGTGGCTGTGGAAGAGGAAGCTGCCGGGACCCTAGAGCAAAACCGTGTCTCGTGGCCCAGCCAGGCACTGGCCTTCTGGCCCTGCACAGCTCTAGGGGAGCAGGAAGCTGTGCAGCTCCTCAAACCCGCTTCCTGTTAGAGCATCTTCGTAACCACAGGGCCCAGGGTGGGGGAGGTAGCTGACACATCCTCACCCGTGGCTGGGGCCTCACCCATTGGTCGAGGGGAGGTGATGTCTGAGCCCTGGGTGGGGTGATGGCTCCTGGGGTGAAGCAGGTGACTGACATCTCTAGAGACCAGAATTCTCAGGTCCAACGTGGAGACCTGAGGTTTGCCTGGGAGCAGGCGGCACAGGGCTGTGCAAAGCTCAGCGGGGAAGGAACTGCCGGGCTCTGCCTCGGATGTGCCTATCACTTCAGTCAAGCCACAGTGCTTCACTGAGCCTCAGTTTCCACACATCGGGAAATGAAGAATGCAATCTAGATGATCTTTAAATCCTTCCAGCTCTGACAATCTGGAACTCATTTAACTTGAGTTTCAGTTTCTTTATCTGTAAAAAGGATACACTGCCGTATACTTCACATAGCTATTTTAAGGTGTCAGTGCAATAAAAGATTTAAAATATTTTTCACACCAAGGCATTGGTTCTTAGCCTGTGGAAAACAATGCTTTGGCCTTTCTCTACCAGCTACAGGTACCTGGCCTCTACCCTGCTTGGTACCGACGCAGGGCATGGCACTCCAGGCTTATATGGCAAAAGGGGTAAGAGAGGAACTAGACAGAACAGGTTTTATCTGTTTATTTAAAAACAGAATATCATTTTATGTACAAATATGCACATATTTACACAAAATGTACATACTAGGATCTCAGATCTTTGGATTTCCCATTCAAATTCCCCAAGTTGGCCAGGGAACAGGGACAAGAGTCTCTCATTTAGTCCAGAAAGCCAGCAGATTTCAGGCCCCGAGGATTTGGGCACTAAATCTCAGTATTCTGGCTGAGTATATTTGGGTGGGCCAAATAAAAATAAACATCTAACTCCTGCCCTCATCCAAAGAAACTGCCAGAATAGCCCTGAATCAATGACCCAGAACCCCCTTAGGAGGAGACACCCCCAGCACCTCCTTCCTCTCGTCTAAACTCCCCCTCCCTTCTGTGTAATCAGTGCCCTCTCCTCCCTACACCACTGAACCAGGAGCGCTTGTCACCAAGTTCCAGCAACTCCTGCAGGGACCACAAACAACCATGGACACAACTAAAAGAAAAAAAGAGAGAGATGAGGCTAGGGGAAGAGTGGAGGGGTGCTAGGGTGAAGGACCTCCCGCCCCCTCTTAGCGAGTAGCCACAGGGCTCACACCCCTAGTCCCAGAGCCCAGCAGCTGTCAGGCCCCTAGGGCCTGCCTAGATGGAGGTGCCTTGGGACCTCTTAGTGCCACAGGGTCAACCTTGGGCTAGGGTGGGGGTCTGAGAGAGGTCCAGCTCTGCTGAGTGCCTATCTAGGCTCACCTCCCTTAAGCAAGCCCAGGAACAAACATGCAGATAAAGTAAAGGTTTTAAAAGTTGTCGCTCTTATTAAGGGAGTCAGAGCAGTCCTCTGCAAGCTCCCCAGAAAGGCTTTTTGCCAAGTATGTACATGCAGCAGGTCCACAGGCCACCAGAGGGCAGAGGGCTTCTTTGTAACAATTCAAACCTCTGGCAGACCCCTGGGCCGTGGCTTCACACTTGCCCAGTGGCTCTCAAGTGGTAGGAACCCGGCTCCCCCACTTAGGAGGCCAAATTCCAGCTCCAGCTATGCCCGCACACCTGGATGTGGCCCATGTTTCCACTTCTCACCTCCAACCTCTGCATCATTAATACTGCTCTGGGGTCTGAGGAAAATACCTGCTTTTGCAGGCAGAGGTCACACACAGCCACTTGACACACAAACCAAACCCTGACAGCCTTCCCCTCACAATCACCAGGATCTGGTGACAACACGCCACCATTCACTCTAATAGTGACTGACAAGCCAGCACAGCAGGATACATACCATGGAAGTCACTCCTCTACACATGCACACACGATCAGTGAGCACACAAGCAAAAATGCACGAGTGCGCACCCACACACACACACACACACACACACACTCTCACACAATGACCTGTACTTATGGTGGGAGGGACTCAACTGTCAGAGCCCACCCAATGAACAGAAGGATTGGAGGAAAAGGTTGAGCAGTCAGTGGGGCAGGGAGCATCTTCCTCAAGAAATACGGGCATTTTAGGAGGCCCCCCAAGATGAGTGGAATCCCCTGTGTCAGCAGAAGGAGCCAGGCCTAGGGGAGGAGGCAGGCCTGGGTCAGACCAGGTGCCCCCGCCCATTGATGTAGATGCCATTGCCCGTGGGCTTGGCCCGGAGGGTCCCATTCTCTTGAACAAAATGGTTCATGGCCTGTTTGATCCCTTCGTCCCGGTCTTCCTCTTCCTCCACCCGGCCAGATCCTGGAGACAACAGTTCAGTCTGTGTTTCGATCTCCCTCACTGTGGTCAGCGTGGAGTAACTGCGGCCCTCCGGCTCTTCGCTCTGGAGACCAAGAACAGAGGACAGCTCAGAACCAAGGGAGGCGGCTGGACAGCAGGGTATGGTTGGGGGTTTGGGAGGGTCAGAGGTCAGGCAAAGAGTGGGTAATGGCTGTCCAGCAGCACAGGGCTCCGAGATCAGGGGCCCAGACTAGGGCACAGGGGAGGGGAGGTGGAGAAGGAAGCAGAGCAGAGGTGCGGGTTGGGCCACGGAGCCGGGGCTGAGGCGTGAGGGACTCTCGAGGGGGCTGCTGACGCACCACATCTGGGGCCGGGAGAGGGGCCAGAGGAGAGTGGTGGGGACAGCGGTGGGGCCGGGGGCCTCACCATCACAGAGCAGCTACTGTTGTCCTTGAGACTCTCAGGGTGGCCCTCGGCTCTCAGCCCTACACTCTCCTCCGGCTGCAGGGCCCGGACATGGAGGAGGAGTTAGAAGAGAGCTCAGCCTCCTCCTTTCAGCCCCTTCACCTCTCTACTGCCAACAACCTCCTCCCTAACCAGCTCTCCCTCACCCCACAGGTCCGATCTCTCCCTGATACAAACATCCTCACTCCTCCGCTGCCACCCTAAACCCACCCTAGAACCAGCACTGAAGGCAGATTCCCAGAGCAGCCCCCAGGCCAGTGCTGAAGGGAGCAAGTGCTACAACCCCCAACCCGACCCCAGCCCTGCCTCAGACTTGAGTCAGCGGCCGGACCTGTGGGAAGACTGTGCTCCCAGTCAGCAGAGGGGCCCAGCACAAGCAAACCCCTACGCAGCCACACGCCATGCAGGCACCCAGCCTTGATACGAACCTGATTCCTGGGGTCCGAGTGATGGGAATGCAGCCTGCGGATGGAGTTCTCCCTGGTCAGCGTCAGCTCCTCCTCACTGGAAAAGACACCTCTTTATCAAGTGAAGGCAGTGGTAGCCTCCCAAAGCCAGCCTAGCCTGGCTGAGCCTATGTAAGACAGGGCTGGGAGAGTGTGGGTGCTCTGCTAGCCCTGCAAGTGGCACATGTGTGCATAGTTGTGGCACCTAGGCCTATGGGTCTGATCTTCACTCAGGCACTGTGGTTCCACTTATGCAGCTATGGTGCAGGCTGGAAGCCCCCTCTCACCTCCCCACAAAACTCTGCCCACCTCTGCTCTGCAAGCTCCCAATTGTGAGCCCACCCATCTCCTCTCCCTCCTCCGCCAGGCCCCCCTTGCCTTTTTGTTCCCAGCTCAGCTCTGTCCACCTGGGAGCAGCCAGTACTCACTACTTCTGGGTCATTTGCTGGGCCTTGCGCCGGTGGTATCTGGACATGAGCACCACCACCACCACCAGGAGGCAGAACAGGAGCGCGGCGATCACACCCACCACCACCACCGAAGCCGACACCAGGTCCACCTGCTTCCCTGGGTCCTCAGGGTCTGCTGCAGACAGGCCGATGTCTGAGGTGCCTGCGCAGATCCCTGCCCCACCCCAGACCCGTCCCCACCTCCACCATCCTCACACAACACACACCCGCTCAGCTCGCCCTCTGCAAAACACACCACCGTCCAGCCTCCGCCAAATAAACTTCCCCCCTTCCCACTCTCGGTCTTGCTTCCTGCTGCCCCTTCCCAGACCTGGCCCACGTTCACCCTCCTGCTCACCAAGAACATCCACAGTGACCCGGGAATCCCGCGAGGAAAGCTCATTGCTGACGTGGCAGACGTAGATGCCACTGTGCTCAGCGGTCAGCGGGGGAAAGCCCAGCGTGCCCCCTTCCACTCGTGCCCCAGTGGGGAGAGGCCCGTCCAGCCTGGAGGACAGGGAAGCTGAAGGGTGCCGGCTGGAGCAGGCCGAGCTGCCACCACCCAACATGCCCAGGCAGCCCTCCGCCCCTCTCGCCCATGACGTCACCCAGAGCCCCCGGCTGTTCCCACGGTGCTCCACCCTCCCCCAGGCAGGTCTAGGCAGGGGCCTTCTCCCTGCTGCCCAGCCTGACCGGGGCACCCCCACACACACTCGGGGAAGATCCACACGTGTGCCATCCCACATGCTCCCACCGCATCACGTCATCGGCACTAGGTACCAGGTCCCCACAACAGGACACTCTACTCCGAGCTCAGAGGTTCTTGGAAAATGTGGCTGTGTGCTCCAGCACCAGCGATGCTGATGGCAGGGTAATGAACCTCGCCCCAGGCTCAAGGCCACATGCCTTGCTCATATGCCCACACAGGAGAACATGCTTAGCATGGGCTCACACACATGTGCACCCTACCCCTCCCTCATTCTCCAGACATCTCAGGCCCTGGAAAAGAGCCAAGGACTCCTGAGGTAACTGGCACAGGCGGGTGGCTGTTTTTGAGGTACTAGCAGCACTGTGGTGTTACAGGAGTGCTGGTGCAACAAAGTTACAGGCAGCTGGCTTTCTGTCCTGTTCACTGCACACACTCACATAAATGTATAAAATGCTAATATTTATATTATATTTCACTTTTGGTGGTACTGGGGATTGAACTGAACTACATCTCCAATCTTTTTTTAAATTTTTTATTTTGAGATAGGGTCTCACTAAGTCACTAAGTTGCCCAACTGGGCTTGAACTTGTTGTTTTCCTGCCTCAGCCTCCCAG